CATTGTTCATTTAAGAAAGCCCTCTTGTCTCTGCTTGCTATTCTTTGGAAGTCTGCATTCAATTTTCTGTAACTTTCCCTATCTCCCTTGCATTTTGTTTCCCTTTTCTTCTCTGCTATTTCTAAGGCCTTGTTGGACAGCCACTTTCCTTTCTTGCATTTCCTTATCTTTGGGATGATTTTTCTCGCTGCCTCCTGTACAATATTACGAGTGTCTATCCATAGTTCTTCAGGCACTCTGTCCACCAAATCGAGTTCCTTAAATCTGTTCTTCACTTCCATTGTGTATTCATAACGGATTTGGTTTAGATTATACCTGACTAGCCCCATGGTTTTTCCTACTTTCTTCAGTTTAAGCTTGAATTTTGCTATAAGAAGCTGATGATCAGAGCCACAATCAGCTCCAGGTCTTGTTTAGCTGACTGTATAGAGCTTCTCCATCTTTGGCTGCAGAGAATATAATCAATCTGATTTCGGTATGGCCCATCTGGTGATTTTCATAAGTAGAGTCACCTCTTGTGTTGTTGGAAAAGAGTGTTTGTGATGACCAGCTTGTTCTCTTGACAAAACTCTTCAACGTTCTGACCAGCTTGTTTTCTTGACAAAACTCTTTCTTCGACGTTGCTACCCATCTGGAAAAAATGTTTACCAGGCTCGTTGATCATGTAACCTGTGTTTTACTCACTCAGTTGATCCCTTGGAATGTTTATCTGATGTACAGGAACAAACCTGGCTTCTATCAGTCCAGGCAAGCTACACTTCCTTTTGGCAATTCTGGATGGTTATTAATGTACTTATTTCAAAGATTTAAATACAGCCCTTCAGCAGTTTCTAAGTTAGTTTATTAAAAACAATATAAGAAGTGTAATATAATAAAGAACACATTATTTTAAAAGCAAAATATATTCAAATACATCAAAGCAGTTTAAAATGTCTTTGTGGGGCGTCAGAGGCTAACAATGTTGGTACCAGAAGCCCCTGTCTGGAGAGAAAGTCCCAGAAATGGGAAACCATTCTTGAGAAGGCTTCGAAGTTGTCACTTGCCTTTTCTGAGTTTGCGATGGTACCTCATGCACATCTTCTAACAATTAGCTCAATGCATAATATTTACCTGTTTATTTTATTTGTATCCTAACAATATAAATTTAACCAAAACACCCAATTAAAAACCACAGTTAATTATCATATTAAAACACTGATAATAGATTATCAGATTAAAACAAACACTAAGTGAATGCCATTTAAAACTGTTTACAACAATGACAACACAGCTGCCATTAAATGGTCCTGATCAATGGTCAAAGGCCAGTTTATATTAAAATGTTTTCAATCTTCTGAAAGGATGACAAAAATGAGGGGGACAGACTAGTCTCCCTCAAGAG